TTTCTACAAAGTCTTCCTCTACTGCCTGAATTAAGACAATACGTTGGGATTTAAGTTCTTGCAGTGAACACAACATAGTGCAATAGAGAAGAAACTTCAAAAAAGCTACAGCCCTAGGGCTACATGAAGAATAATCCTAGTTTCCTGAGATTATAAAATTCTTGCAAGACTTGTATAACTCCAGGTAGGGAGGCTAGGTTCAGCCTTGCTTCCTTCCTGGGGAAGCTACAGAGCTACTTCTGACTAAAAGGCAGTAAAATGGTTGCTCTCTGTACTTCAGAAGGTGCCTTAGAACAGCAGTTCTCAAGCAGGGGGTTAGGGCCCCCTGGGGTGCTGAGAGCAGATTTCAGGGGGTCTGCCAAGCAGATCTGTTAGACTCTCGGGGGCCCTGAACCTCACCACCCAGGGCTCAAGCCAAAGCCTGGGTAATTTAGCTTTGTGGGGCAACTGCTCTGCTTGCTACCCCCTAATGCTGGCCCTGGTTTTTATATGCAAAAGAACAGTTGTTGTGGGCCGTGGAGTTTTTACAGCATGGTGGGGGGGAGGGAGGGGAGCCTCAGAAAGAAAAAGGTTGAGAACCCCCTGCCTTAGCATCAAGTCTCTGATCTTTCAAAGGAGGTAAAGTTTTACAATTACCAATTTTATAAGCCATAGTTTTGTGCCTTTTGCTGAAGTGCTCTGAGCATCAGCAACCCTTCTTAGGGATAGAAGTCCACCCAAAACAAAATGCAGCCCCTGGCCCTTGCAAAGGAGTCCAATACCACATGGAGTTAAGTACAATTACTGATAGGAAAGTAGCACTTCAGCTGTTCCAACCGCTACAGAATTACGTCTCCCTAGTGGAGGGCAAAGTTGATATAATATGTGTTAGGATAAGAGAAGCCTTCCATACCTTGGTCACTTCATCAGATATGCTGTAATCTAACAGCCTCAGCAAGCTTAAATAGATGCGGAATTTGTTCAGCATGGATGGCAGCACGGCTGTGAGAAGGCTGGTCATGTACTCCTCCATGTTCGGTGGAATTATCTGTGGCTGTAAGTGGACCTGGCAATCTGACTGAAAAACAAGAAGGGTTGCACATCATCCCTTTCCCCATTCACATCTGTTCTATTCCAGTCAGACACACCAGTACAATGGTGGACGTCAGTGTCACCCAATGTTATCGATGAAGACAGGATAAAATCAGTTTAATATCAACAATTTAATAACAAATCTCTTTCCTGAAGAACTCCCAGTCTGAAGTCTCACTATTGCTGTTTTAATCTCCCTCTTTGGAAGGGAACACTTTTGCTTTGAACAGGCATCAATATCACAATTTTAAAACCGCCAAGAGAGCAAAGGCTCAGTACATAGAGGGTGAAGACAAGTAGTTAGTACACAGTATGATTAGTTGTTCAAACAGCTGGAGACATCTACATAATCCATCATACATAAATACAAGCCGAATTCATAGTCTTTTCAGTCTGAATGTGAGCGGGATCTCTCTCCACCATAAACAGGAACGGGCAGTTATTGCGCTGGAATGAGATTGCTTTATAATAAATCTGTGTCTACAATTTTTCCATTACCAGAAATACCCATATACTCTAATCATTTTTCATCCTCTTGCTATCATTTCTACAGCATGCAGTCACAGAGAGAAATGTCAGTTTTTCCTTTCACTGAATAATTTTTTTTGCAGGCCAGTATCACTAAATACAGGTTTTCTAGGTGCACTAGCTGGAACACTAACCCATGTCAGCAGTTTGCCCATGCAGCTCAGGGCAACAAGATCATTTCCCGGACATCACTCATTTCTGGAAATGGCATGCTCGGTTTTCATTAAGCAGCTATCAACTGTAATTATCCCCCAATTCAAGAAGACCTTGCCATACCGGTAGGAGTGATCTGCCTTCTGAAGTGATAAGTACATTAATATTGCACGGGAATTCCATCTGGTGGTAACTGAAGTCATAATCCACCTTCTGCCAAGTTATCAGGTTACCCAGTGCAGTCACATTATGTACACCTAGAAAAGCAAGAAAACAGATGCTGACAGCTGGATGTAAACAATCGCCAGAGTTGAAATTGATTTTTCATTCAGGTTTTAATTAGCAGTTAGCAGAAACTATTACTTGGTCACAGTGGAAACAGCTTGGTTACTAAAATAACCTGAGGTGCTAAACAAAATCAAGCGCCTTTGAATGATTTCAGGTATAAAAGATGACCTGCCCTAATATGAGTGTAGTTTATGGGAAATGGTCAGATTATAAACATGTAGAAATATTTATGCAAAATTTGCTAGAGGGAATAAGGCTGTGGTTATCAAAAAGAGTTAAGCATGAGATTGGAATGGGTACTTTACTCACAAGTGAGTAATTCAAGCCATCCCAAATGAATATGGCTAATGCTTTATTCCAAACTGCACCAGCGTGCATTCTGTATATTTTAGAAATGTGCTTAAAAGTTCTGACTTTTTGGTATCCTTATGGCTATAAAGTCTAGAGACGATAGACACTGCTCGCTCAGCTCTCCAATGCATTGACTTGAAGGGTGCAGGATCAGGGCCCTGGAGTTTAAATATACGAGGCTCAGAACCATAGCTTTTCTGTACCACCCTGTTCCCCCACCCCCCAAACAAACCCACCCCCCACACAAATCTTTCAAGTTATATCCCAGGACCATGCAAGACCAGAAAGTGCTTATTCAGCACCACCAGCAAAGGCATCAAGCTCCAGTTCTAGCCAAGGAGAGGTGAGATACTGGACTTTTAATGTATAGAAATAATTGAACTGGCTGAGGAAGACACCCATTTTTCCTAGCTTCAAAAGGCCATATCCTAAGGCAACCCTCTCCAGCAGGTTTAGATGGAAGAACTTCCTTTCTAACATTCATGAATATCATATTAGCCAGACAGAAGAAGCTTTTAGCATGGAAGGAGGTGGCAGTGTTTGCTGGAGTGACATTCCATAGCATCAAGGAAACCCAGCAAGCTTTGGGATCCAAATGCTGATCATGTGCCTCATAGTGCACTTGTACTGGCCCTAAACAGCTGAGCTGGTGAGTGAATTTAACAGACCTTTTCATGAGACCTTCATAAACCACAATTTGTTCACCACTGGCTGTATAATTGCAGTAAACTATAAGCAAGTAGGCATCTCTGAGGTTGCTGCTGCTCAAACTAAGTCATCATGTTACTTTTAAACTGCATTAGGAACGGCAGAATAATCCATGTTTTGCCAAATGAAATGGGGAACAATGTTAATCTATTATTACAAACCACTCGCTAAAATGAAAACGTCAATTAGAGAAGCCTAGCATGACGGTGTTCTTGTCCCTTGGGACGTTCTGGAAGACCACATGGCTTAGGGGATTGGTGATGAGCTTTAGAGCCTTTTTACTCTGTCACTGGTTAGATTCTACACCTGAAGGTCTTTAGTGACCAGAATAGTAAAGATCTTCAGATACCATGAGGAATAGTGCAATGTGAACACACAGATCCAAGGGCTTACATGAAATAATTGGTGATTTTGGACCAGATCCTAAAGAACCGATACCATATCATAAACACACTATCACAACTCACCAGGCATGAACTATTCTCTCACCCTAAAGTGGAATACTCTTCTGGCCTCAGGCCCATTCGTAGTTGTGGGATAGCTTCCATTGTAGCTGACCCTGTTGCTCCAATTCTAAGTACAACTTCACTCTGCAGGGCTGTCAAACCAGCACTACACATTTAAATTAAAAAACAAACCAGCTTTTGACAGATTCTCTACAGCACGCCCCTCTATTTGTTTGTATATTACTTTTAAAATGGCAATACACTGCCACTTTACATTTGGGGATAAGAGAACAAATCACTTTTTAGAACCCAAGCAGAGAAGAACGCCTCACTGCGTAAAAGGTGCATTAGGCTGGCCAACTAAAATGAGGTACAGCAGAAAGATTAAATGGGAGAGAGGAACTGAATAACATCTTTAGTTATCCCAGACTTCTGCTAGAGTCATTAAAATCAAACAAACCCATTTATTTTAAAAATTACAGTAAGTTCCTACAAAAACAAAAAACCCAATCTAGAATAGACTAAAAAAGTAAAAAAAAATTGGAACTGAAACTTCTAGTTTAAAGATAGTTTGTTGAAATAATGAAATCTAGCTGATAAAAATCAGATTTCTCCTGAACACCACCACCTGTGCCAAATGCTTTGTATCTTTCAGTCCAGCAGACAGACAGTCATTAACTACTCTTTATAAAGGATGGCAAGCTGTGTATAATTTCCTTCTTTTGGGACTCTTTCCCCTCTCATTTCCTTAGTTAATTACAGCAACACAGTATCAACTTGAAATCTAAAATTGGCTACTTCTGTAGTTTTAAAATTGTCTACATTGTGTCTGGCCTTTGGTCTCAGCTGTTCAAAATATACAAATTAACACTTAAGGTTCCTGGTTATTCCACTGTTAATGCTTGTAAAGAAGATGAAAAGAGATCTATAATAGGTATGGACTCACTAGAGCATCTCAACAGTGAAACTTAAGATCATGCATCAGGACTGTTTTTGATGTCACAAGCTCCAGGAGGGACAAGGTACCCTTGTTATATAAGGCTGATTAGGATGCTTCTTTTATTTTAATATAATCACCTTCACTGGCTTCCTATTCATCTGTATTTCAATTCAAAATTGGCCCCCTTGGGTTTGTAGACACATTGTTTTTGCTCACTTCACTTATCTGACTTTGTGTTCCAACCTGATGTCTCCTACCTGAACCTGGAAGATGGAGGGGGGGAGAAAAGTGAATAAGCACCCCAACTGTATGTCCCAGCTACCTGAACCCCTATCCTCCTGCCTCACTCCCAGCTATCAAATTACTTTTCTTCAAAGCTCACCTTAAGTCTTCCCTCTCAGTCTAGGTTATGATTCATTGCTTTGTACAAAGGAGTGTTGTAAGCAAGACAAGAAATAGTTCTTCCACTCTACTCAGCCTCAACTGGACTTTTGTGTCCAGCTCTGGGCACCATACTTCAGGAAAGATGTGGACAAATTGGAGAAAGTCCAGAGGAGAGCAACAAAAAGGATTAAAGGTCTAGAAAATATGATCTGTGAAGAAAAAATTGGGTTTGTTTAGTCTGAAGAAGAGAAGACTGAAGGGGGACATGATCACAGCCTTCAAAATACATAAAAGGTTGTTATAAAGAGGAGGGTGATAAGTTTCTCTCCTTATCCATTGAGGACAGGATAAGAAGTAATGGTCTTAAATTGCAGCAAGGGAGATTTAAATTAGAGATTAGGAAAAACTTCCTCACTGTCAGGTTAGTTAAGCACTGGAACAAATTGCCTAGGGAGGTTGTGGAATCTCCATCATTGGAGGATTTTAAGAACAGGTTACACAAATACCTGTCAGGATGATCTAGATAATACTTAGTCCTGCCTCAGTGCAGGGGACTGGACTAAATGACTTATTAAGGTCCATTCCAGTCCTACATTTCTTTGATACACAGAACAAGTCACGGTTTACAAGATGAATTTTGGAAATCCATAATACACAAATGAAAACTACTTGCTCCCACACAGCATTCACTTTTCAAATGGGAAAAAAACAACAAAAAAAACAAAAACAAAAAAACCCTTACGTGACTTCAGTGCTCAAAGGTGTCAGCTATGCCGCCAGGGGTTGTTCTGTTTTCTATAGGAAAGGTGCTATACAAAGGGCAGAAACGTAAGGTTCCCCACACTGCTCCACTTGTGACTAACCCAAGACCTGAAAAGACCACTTCTATGGGACAAGATAGTAGCTCAGGCTACAGCTTCATTTAATTTCTGGCCTTTTCTATTGCGAGTGTCAAAGCAGTCAGTTGTCCAGGTGTTCTTTGCAATGCAAATACCAATGAAACTAAGAAATCACACTGAGCAGTACCAGCTCATTTCACAATGGTCAGTTGCACCCTCTCCTAGATTTTAACTGCTCACCTACAGGTGAAAAGATTCCTAATTACCTACCTCTTCTCACCTCTCTAGGAGCTCTATTTAAAGCTACCAGTTTTTACCTGAAACCTAGCATATTTTAAATTTAATATTTTAACTAAAACAAAATATCCAGATGCTTCCTAACAGTAAAGCAGTAATAAGAGAAATAAAATACAACTGCCTTGTTGAACAGTGATCAGGCACGCAACTCCATATAACAAGGCCACAGACTGACAGCAAGCTAGTCTGAGACATGAATCAGTTGTGATATCCATGGACAAAGTGGTTTTTCCCCACATAGCTTAAACTGTATTAAAAGGTTTAACTATTGGCACATAATTAACATCACTGTGTCTTGAAATGCACTAATTCAGTCTACTAGAATGTATTGGTCAAAGTTTTACAGGGAAGACAGAAACACACAGCATTGCCTACCTGTTGTGTCCAGCTGTCCTTGCTCAAGCAGGGTCTCGTCTATCACAAGGGAAGTGTTACTGGCCAGTTGCAATACTCCACTGACTAGGCGGTTAGCCGTGTAGTCCTTGTGTGGGATAAATCGTGAGTGATTCATGTTTTCGATGGTCATCTGCAGACGATAGGACTGCCAAGAACAAAGAAAATTATTAGCTAGGTAGGCAAATTCCCACTTCTCCACCCGCCTTGTTAGGTAAAAGTATCCTGCTTTAATGGGATCATTAAGTTTAGAATTCCATAATACGTACAAAATTATAAGGACAATTAAATGAAATACACGGTAGATATATGTAACCACAAGTTCCAAAGCTCCTAAAGGGAAAGAGGATTTCAAAGGCAAAACAATTTTATGGCGAGTTAAATTTTTTAAAATATATAGTTATATATAGCTATGGGAATATCAGAAGAATGTGCTGCAGTACTGCAAGTTACCAGTCAATATGGTCCCTGTTCAAGTTACTGTGTTTTCTCTGCAGAAATACCCTCCAGGAATTTGTGGTCACTGGGGGAGAGAGGAGAGAGAAATCTAGGATCTCTCTAGGATGAAAGTTCCACCCTCATTTTAGTTGTTGGGCTTCCTTTAACCAGGCACCAGGAACCGGCCTCAAACTGAACTTAAGTTTTGTTTCAAAAATACAGTTAACATTACAGCCAAAAATCACTGCCCAATCATAAATCCATTAAAGTATATTAATGCCATTCTTACTGCTGGAACAAGCTGCTGGATAATGCGGTATATGTGCTCTGTGAAGATACTATTTCTTGGACAGCCACTCAAGTTGACTGTGAATTTTCCCAGAGGAAGCACATCTCTTCTCGCATAGCTAGAAAAAAAAAAAAGATGGATCAGCTGAACACTTGATACAGGGACTGCACCCCTGGTAAGTCCGAAAAACTTTCTATAATCAAAATACACCCATAAAAAGAGCCACAAGCTGTGTGTGAACCATAACCCTCGTCATTCCTTTTCTCACATCTTTGTTTTCTTTCTTGGGGACAGTGACTGTCTTCCTGTGTGTCTACACAGGACTAGAACATACGGGGTGCTACTGCACTATAAACAGATGGTGGCTGGCACCTGTAAAAATGAATCTTATATCAACTTATCTATGACCTTTAACACTAGATCAGTGGCCGAACCATGAGAGATTTAGGACAGATTGGACTAACTATGACTAATGACATGGGGCGCACACTCTTCCACACAAGGCAGAAAGGGGCTAAGGAGCTTAAAAAGTCCTGCTCAGTTGGAAATGACAGACAGAGACAGCAGACGTAGCAGTCGTTTCTGCAACTCAGAAGGCACTGCAGGCTGGGCAGACCGTCAGAAGACTGGCTGGAAAACTGAGGCTGAATGCCTGCTTGACCCCAAAATGTCACAAAGGGGTGCCTGGGGGGGCTTTGTTGGTGAGTATCTGAGTGTCTGTTGTGGGGACAGTTTGTCAGTTTGACCGTGTGCTTGATTGTTTAAAAAGTGTGAATTGGGAGTACTTTGTTCCAGGTGGGTCTTGACTGGGCCTGATTGTTATAGAAAGGCAGCCAGTTGTGATCCAGCTGAGCAGCAAACAGCAGAGAGGCTAACAGAGGGAGTTCGCCTGGGGAGAACCACTGAGGCTTTCATCTTGCAGGCTTCTCTGAGGCCGTGGCTACACTCGAAACTTCAAAGCGCTGCTGTGGGAATGCTCCTGTGGCAGTGCTTTGAAGTGCGAGTGTGGTCGCGCTCTCCCAGCGCTGCAGGTACTCCACCTCCATGAGGGGATTAGCTGGGGCACTGTTTACACTGGCGCTTTACAGCGCTGTAACTTGCTGCGCTCAGGAGGGTGTTTTTTCACACCCCTGAGCGAGAAAGTTGCAGCGCTGTAAAGCGCCAGTGTAGCCATAGCCTGAGCAGTTACTGCACCAGCTGAGGAAGCTCTTCGAAGGAAGATAATATGGATGGGGAGCAATCGGCTGTTGTGACCTGCACAGGATGTGCTATGTTTGTCTTTCTTCCACAGGACAGAAGCGACTTTGTCAGTACAAAGAGCAAGCTGCTCTCCATATCAGAAGAGAAGGTTCAAGGTCTGGAGAAACAAGTATCAACCCTGCGTTGCATAAGAGAAAATGAAGATTTCCTGGACAGACGTCAGTGTATGCTTCTACGGGCACAACATTCTGAGGAATCAGAGCAGGCTGCACAGCGTGGACAGAAGGATGGTTAAGAAAATTGGCAGCATGTGACCTCCAGAAGAAGAAAGAGGAGCGTCCATGTACCAGCAATACAGATACAGGTGAGCAGCCGTTTTCATGTTCTCTCCACAGGTACTAATACGGAGAGTGGACTGGATGATACATCTGAGGGAAGGGAACAGAAGAAGACTCCACCCATTGGAAGGCATGAGATGCACTGTCCTCTAGGGATGGCGGTTCCACGATCGCCACTCCCAAGAGAAGGAGGCGGGTGGTGGTGGTCGGGGATTCCCTCTTAAGGGGGACTGAGTCATCTATCTGCTGCCCGACTGGGAAAACCGAGAAATGTGCTGCTTGCCAGGAGCTAGGATTCACGATGTGACAGAGAGACTGCCGAGACTCATCAAGCCCTCGCATCACTGCCCCTTTCTGCTTCTCCACGTGGGCACCAATGATACTGCCAAGAATGACCTTGAGCGGATAACTGTAGACTACGTGGCTCTGGGAAGAAGGATAAAGGAGTTTGAGGCGCAAATGGTGTTCTTGTCCATCCTCCCTGTGGAAGGAAAAGGCCCAGGCAGAGACTGTCGAATTGTGGTAGTCAACGAATGGCTATGCAGGTGGTGTCGGAGAGAAGGCTTTGGATTCTTTGACCATGGGATGGTGTTCCAAGAAAAAGGAGTGTTAGGCAGAGATGGGCGCCACCTAATGGAGAGAGGGAAGAGCATCTTTGCAAGCAGGCTGGCTAATCTAGTGAGGAGGCCTTTAAACTAGGTTCACTGGGGGAAGGAGGCCAAAGCCCGGAGGTAAGTGGGATACCAGGAGGAAGCACGAGCATGATGGGGTTGAGGGGGGTTATTGGTCCCCAGAGCGAGGGGCTGGGGAAATTGGAGCACGGTGGGGCAGACAGGATTCCCGCTCTCCCCCACGCCACCTTCTTCTTCACTGGAAAGGCTGGAGCCAGGTCCCAGAGCCAGCCAGTTCTCTCCACAAGGAGTCAGCAGCTGAGCAGAGCGCAGTTCCTCTAGGCCAATGGTTCTCAACCTGCAGCCCATGGGCTGCTTGTGGCCTAGTCAGCACACAGCTGCGGCCCATGTGACATCCTCAGGGCCATACAGGTTGTATATTGCATGGATGCGGCCCACCTAACACAGAGAGCTGCATATGCAGCCCACAGTGGTAAATAGGTTGAGAATCACTGTTCTAGGCTGTAATTCTTGCTGCTGCTCTTCCTGCCCCCTGGTGGTGCAGGTTGGTAGCTGGATTTTTAGTGTCCAGTCAGCAGTGCTGACCAGACACTGCCAGGTTCCCTCTTCAACCCGATTTTCGGGTAAAAAAAACGGACACCTGGCAACTCTAGGAGGGGGTGCTGCCAGTGTATGGGAGACAGACTCTTAAGTAGGGGGGACTGGGTGCAGTCCCTGGATGGGGGACTGGAAGCAGTCCCTGTGTGGGTCGTTCTTCCCTGGATAGGGCCAGTCCAGTGTTGTGGGGGGGAGGAGAGGGGTGTCTGGATGCTGGAGGGACAGTCCCAGGGGGGTTGGGTGATGGGGGGCATTCCCTTGTTGGGGGGGCAGTATGAGGAGGGACTGGGTGAATGGGAGACAGTCCCTGGCTAAGGAGGCACCCCACACCAGGCAGGGCTCCCCATCTTTGCAGAAAGGCTCCACAGCAGCATGGAAATGAGGGTGGCAATATGCCATGCCTTCCTTACAGTAAATTAATTAATTTTAACAGTTAATGTTTTGACTTATTTTGCTAATTTAAAATGCTCTTGGTAGACATTTGCCAGTGTTGAAATGAATGGTATTGGCGTCATATAACAAATCCTAAACCTTATTATTACTATTTTTAATAGATGTACAGGTAGTATATATATATATATATTTTGTGTGGATGGGCCCACATAACACACCCAGCTGCATATGCGGCCCACAATGGTAAATAGGTTGAGAACCACTGCTCTAAACTATTAATGGAAATGTAGTAATAGCATGTCCTGCTCACACACAGAGAAGAGATTAGATAGGAAACATATATGAAACCAATGCAGAGGTTATATCACTTGAGGATTTTAGTCTAATCTAAGGACAGAATTTAAAAAAAAAGATGGAGAGAGAACAGAAGTGGGAGGGACTTTGTCATCTCAAATGCTAGGAAGATACTAAGCTTTGAAATTAGCCTTTTAAAAAAATCTATTTGGACTGTGGACAATAATCTCTGCATTTGTGCCTAATACAATGGGTCCCCTCAGTTGGAGTCTCCCTGGGCACTACTGGAATATAAATACTTATACCATCTCTGCTGAAAAGTTATTCATAGACTCCGATAGACTGGCAAAAACAAGCAGATAATATTTTTTAGAACAAATACATTAAGTGTTCTCAGCAGGCATCTACGTACTTACACTGTGGAGATGAGATGCAATATAAGGTACTCAGCAGCCAAGCTGTCTCCTAAGAGTGCATGAGTGAGGAATCCAAGTAGCTCTGCTCTAAGTGGCGAAAGTTCCATCATAAAACTAGAAACAACTGACAAGAAAGCAGAAGACAAGTGTCAGAAATACCCCGCATCTGTTCCCCCTCCTCTCCAAATGATGCTTACTTTACGTTGCAATATCACACATTGGGAATGGTGAGTGGAAAAGAACAGCACTCTACTCTGTGAGTGAAGTTTCCTCATTTACCTAGACTTTTCCTACCTTTTTTAGATTCAGGACATTGTTCCTTGCTCTGCAGATTTAAGATGGAATAATGCCCTCTATTTAGACTTAGTGTATCTAATTAAGAGTGATCTTACCCAAATGGGTCTTCTTTCCTAGACTACGCAAATTCAACTCAGTCTTTTTCACTATGTTGTTTTACACTCCATGGTTGTGCTTTTTTGTATCTTGCTTTTTGTCACACCATTCCTGAACTCTGGTGACCATAACTTTATGCAACTTAATTGTTTCATCTTAGGCCTAGTCTTCACTTACCGGCTGGTCCGGCGGCACGCCATCGATGTTCTGGGATCG